TTGGAGCACATGTTTCGAGAAATGGGACAGATCTACGAAGCCCATAAATCTCAGGAAAAACCAGAAACCGGTAGACGGAATAACTGGTCCAGATACCCTGAGCTGGCAGCAGATCTGATGATATCAGGACACCCAATGGAGCTGATGGACGGTGATGCAGGTCACGTGCCTTTAACATGGATCTCTGCTCTTTTAGATGAAGTCATCATGAAACTGGGAGACCAGAGGGTGTTTGTGTTGTCAGTTTTGGGCATACAAAGCAGTGGAAAGTCAACGATGCTAAATGCCATGTTTGGTTTGCAGTTTGCTGTCAGTGCCGGCAGGTGCACCAAGGGTGCCTTCATGCAGCTGGTCAAAGTGTCAGAGGAGCTCAAGAAGGGCTTCAGGTTTGACTACATTCTAGTGGTGGACACTGAAGGACTGCGTGCACTTGAGTTAGCAGGTAAAGCCACTTCTAACCACGACAATGAACTGGCAACATTTGTTGTTGGTCTGGCAAACATGACATTGATCAACATCTTTGGTGAGAATCCAGCTGAGATGCAAGATGTTCTGCAGATTGTTGTTCAGGCTTTCATGAGGATGAAGAAAGTTAAACTTTCTCCTAGTTGTGTGTTTGTTCACCAGAATGTCACAGATATTGCAGCTGCAGAGAGAAACATGGATGGGAAGAGACGTCTGCAAGAAAAACTGGACCAGATGACTGAACTAGCTGCCAAAGAGGAGGCTTCTAATGCAGAGTGCTTCAGTGACGTCATTGCATTTGATGTGCAGAAAGATGTGAAATATTTTGCCCAACTGTGGGAGGGAAGCCCTCCAATGGCTCCTCCAAATCCAGGTTACAGTGAGAGTGTACAAGAACTGAAGAACATCATCCTCTTGAAGGCTTCACGGTGTGCCGGGACCCCTCTGTCACATTTCAAAACCAAGATCCAGGACCTGTGGAATGCCCTCATGAACGAACACTTTGTTTTCAGCTTCAAAAACACATGAGAAATTGCCGTGTACAGAAAACTTGAGATCAAATATGGGAACTGGACCTGGACCCTCAGGAACAACTTGTTGACCATTGAGAGCCAGCTTCATACCAAAATTGAAAATGGAAAACTTGACAAGGTTGAGCTCAGAGATCTTGTTAAAGAAATGAGCAAAACGTATGAAGAAGTCAAAAAAGAAATGACAAAGTACTTTAAGGACAACAGAGACAAAGAAATGCTGGTTCAGTGGCAAAACCGATTCGAACAGAAGATCAAAGAGTTTCATGATGAAGCAGTGAAAGAAGTGAAACGAAAGCTGGATGAAGTTATCCAGCAGAAGAAGGCTTGTAAAGAGCTGGATGATAAGAAGACAGAGTTTGAAAACAAGCTGCTGCAAAAGAGCAAAGAGCTGGCTCATGAGTTAAAAGACAAGGCAACAGATGAAAAGACACTGAAGAAGCAGTTTGACTCAGTTTGGAGCCACTGGGTTACTGAGTTAACTAAGAATACAAAACCCATTGAGGACATCAACCTGGAAGAAGAACAATTTAAAATCCTTGATCAGCTCAGTTTTGAATGGCCTCTCATAGCTGAATCCAAACGCACCGGTCGTTACAAAGAGATGCCAAAAATTGGGGATTACTCCGATTATATAACACAAAAGAAGTTCCAAAACCTCAGTAATGAAAGTGAACAAACTCCAGAACGTAGGAGCGAAAAAAAGGACACACGCAAAAGAGGTTATATGGCAAATGTAGTAAATCGTGCCCAAAACCTGTTGGGCAGGACCTCAACAACAGAAGGAAAATCAAAGAATGTTCTTGAACATGAAGAACAACAGCTGATCAGATCCTTCATTCATGCTGTTGAACAGCAATCCCTTAAAGCAGTCAAGACCAAACCAGTAGCAACAAGAGGCTACAACTCAACCTACCTGCTAGAAGTGGCTAAAAGTGTTCAACAGTCTGTGACAGAGTTTGAATCAGAGAAGACATACACACTGAAGAAGGAGTTCAGAGTGGATCTGTTACTGTATGTTTTTGACAGGGCAGCAGGTTGGTTGTCACAGTCTCACAAGAAATACAAAACTAACAACGATGCACACAGCTACTTGGAAGACAAGAAACCACAATATTACTACATTTTCCAAAGCTTCTGCAAAGGAAACTCATCTGCAGTCGTTTTTGGAGAATTGATTTGTGAAAAACTGAAGTTTTCCATTGTTGAAGCCGTCTGTAACAAGACTGCCACTGATCTCGCTGGAGAGATGAGGTCCCGTGTCCCAGCATTCAGTGGGAACAGGCTGGACTTGGAGAAACATGTCCTGAAATCACTTGCAGAGAAAGAGGACTTTGATGGTTTTATCACCTACATCCAGCAGCCAAGGATCCAAGTAAAAACTTTCATAAAAGAAGAAGTAAAGAATTACATCTTCACACAGCAGAAAGGTAAAGCACAGAACATACTAGAGACAAATGTTGACCACATCAGTAGGCAGGTCCGTCTAGCTCTATTTGCTGCAACAAGTAAAGTCAAAGAACAGGAAGGAGACATAAACATGTGGGTGGAGGAATTTTCCAGTTTCCTAAAGGATGATCTGACACTTGGTACCATTAGCTGTCAAAACTTCAGGGACATAAACAATTTTGAGTTTCTGAAAGAAGAGATAGAGAAAGGCCTTCAGGAGATGAGTCTCATCTCACTGGATAAGATGAAGGAATTCAGGCAGCAACCTGATCAAATCCTCATTGATCAGCTGTGTAAGTGTTGCTGGGTCAAGTGTCCATTCTGTGCAGCTGTTTGCACCAACACCCTGGAAGATCACAGTCCTGATGACCACAGCGTCCCTTTTCATCGATCTGCTGCAGTGAATGGTGTGCACTACAGAAACACAGTGATTATGTCTATTGAATTCTGCACAACACATGTTGCAAGTGACAACAGGTTTTACCCTGATGGAGAGTCAGAAATCCTCTTTCCTTATAAAGATTACCGAACTGCTGGACCAAGGTTCGCAAACTGGAGAATTACCCCTGATGAATCGAAGCTACCATACTGGAAATGGTTTGTGTGTCGATTTCAGGAGCAGCTGGAGAAGCACTATGGTTTAAAGTTCGAGGGTGATGGACAAATTCCCGACGAGTGGAACAACCACACTAAAGAAGACGCTATTAAAAGTCTGGATGAAATGTTCAAGCTGTGAGTGAGTCGACACAATTACAACAGCTAGAAAAACACATTCTGATTCGTGAAACATTTCTGTAATCGTCACATTCCAAGAGTCAACGCTCTCCTTCAGACAGGTCACCTGACCGCTCAGCTCATCTCGATAGGAGGCAAGAACATAGTTTGATCCTCATATTNGATGAGCCTCATCTCCTGAATGATGGAAGCAAGGCCTTTCTTTATCTCATCTTTCAGAAACTCAAAATTGTTTATGTCCCTGAAGTTTTGACAGCTAATGGTACCAAGTGTCAGATCATCTTTTAGGAAACTGGAAAATTCCTCCACCCACATGTTTATGTCTCCTTCCTGTTCTTTGACTTTACTTGTTGCAGCAGATAGAGCTAGACGGACCTGCCTACTGATGTTGTCAACATTTGTCTCTAGTATGTTCGGTGCTTTATCTTTCTGCTTTTTGAAGATGTACTTCTTTACTTCTTCTTTTATGAAAGTCTCTGCTTGGATCCTTGGCTTCCGGATGTAGGTGATAAAACCATCAAAGTCCTCTTTCTCTGCAAGTGATTTCAGGACATGTTTCTCCAAGTCCAGCCTGTTCCCATTGAATGCTGGGACACGGGACCTCATCTCTCCAGCGAGATCAATGGCAGTCTTGTTACAGACGGCTTCAACAATGGAAACCTTCAGTTTTTCACAAATCAATTCTCCAAAAACGACTGCAGATGAGTTTCCTTTGCAGAAGCTCTGGAAAATGTTGTAATATTGTGGTTTCTTGCCTTCCAAGTAGCTGTGTGCATCGTTGTTAGTTTTGTATTCCTTGTGAGACTGTGACAACCAACCTGCTGCCCTGTCAAAAACATACAGTGAGAGATCCATTCTGAACTCCTTCTTCAGTGTGTATGGCTTCTTTGATTCAAACTCTGTCACTTTCTCTTGAACGCTTTTAGCCACTTCTAGCAAGTAGGTTGAGTTGTAGCCTCTTGTTGCTACTGGTTTGGTCTTGACTGCTTTAAGGGATTGCTGTTCAACAGAATTAATGAAGGATCTGATCAGCTGTTGTTCTTCATGTTCAAGAACATTCTTTGATTTTCCTTCTGTTGTTGAGGTCCTTATGAGCAGGCTTTTAAAAAAATCCCATGTTTCTCCCACCAAACCTTTTTTACGTGTGTCCTTGTTTTCCCTCTTACTTTCTGGAGATTGTTCACTTTCATTACAGAGGTTTTGGAACTTCTTTTGTGTTATATAACTGAAGTAATTTCCAATTGTTGGCATCTCTTTGTAACCACCAGTGCTTTTGCATTCATCTATGAGAGGCCATTCAAAACCGAGCTGTTGAAGGATTCTAAATTGTTCTTCTTCCAGGTTGATGTCCTCAATGGGTTTTGTATCTGCAGTTAACTCAGTAACCAAGTGGCTCCAAAGTGAGTCAAACTGCTTCTTCAGTTCCTTTTCATCTGTTGCCTTGTCTTTTAACTCATGAGCCAGCTCTTTGCTCTTTTGCAGCAGCTTGTTTTCAAACTCTGTCTTCTTATCATCCAGCTTTTTACAAGCCTTCTTCTGCTGGATAACTTCATCCAGCTTTCGTTTCACTTCTTTCACTGCTTCATCATGAAACTCTTTGATCTTCTGTTCGAATCGGTTTTGCCACTGAACCAGCATTTCTTTGTCTCTGTTGTCCTTAAAGTACTTTGTCATTTCTTTCTTGACTTTTTCATACGTTTTGCTCATTTCTTTAACAAGATGGCTGAGCTCAACCTTGTCAAGTTTTCCATTTTCAATTTTGGTATGAAGCTGGCTCTCAATGGTCAACAAGTTGTTCCTGAGGGTCCAGGTCCAGTTCCCATATTTGATCTCAAGTTTTCTGTACACGGC